AGGTTTGGTCCTCGGTTTGCGTGCACGTGTTAAAAAATATTATTTATATTATTTAATATATAAATAATGTATTTATATTATTATTTAATATATATTTATATATTATTTAATGTATAAATAATATATTTATTATATAATTTAAATAAAGATAAATGAGCTGAGCTTGATGAGCCAAGCTTATGCGAACTCGGGCTCGGCTCGTTTACTAAACGAGTCTAATATTCAAGGTTTGAGCTTGGCTTGTTTACTAAACAAGCCGAGCCAAGCCAAGCTTGTTCATGAACAGCTCGGTTCATTTGCAGTCCTAGAAGCAAGAGGTGATTGTATGAAACAGAGTGTTCAATAAAGATAGATTCATAGAACCATAAATAGGAACTCTATGGTTTACAGAACTAGTAATCAAAATATTTCTCCATTTTTTTTTATTTTTCATTTTCTTGCTGAATTATTGATAAAAATGTAATATGAAAATTGTAAAGAGAAGGAACCATAAAGGGAAGAACACTATTGTTCATATGCAAATCAGATATGTTTTTCTGATTGTTGGTCTTGGAGGAAATATGGGCAAAAACCCATCAAAGGGTCTCTCTCTCTCTCTCCGGCTAAATTTTAACAACAAACGTTAGTCCTTCTAAACTAATTAAACTAAATTATTAGCAAGTCAAACCAAAAACCATCAAATCATAGACAAAAACTAATATCATATTATCTACAACCCAAATTTGAAAACTTTGGCTAATATTTTTTTTTTTCCCCCCCTTACATTTAGCACCAAAATCAAGACTCCCAATGGCACAACAAGGCACACATTCATATCTACTGACATTGAAGTGCCAAAAACAGAGCCATATTTGCATAAACTTAAAACCCACATCATATAAACAACCCATATACATACACTATACATACATGCATATGTAAACGCCATAAGAATAATCTCTGCCTCTGGCATTTAAGCAAACACCATAAGCTCAATTCATCAATTTCCTCAGTAACCAAACAGAACATTAAAAATTAAAAAAAAAATTAAAAAAATAAAAATCGAATTCAGCATCAATTCATCCAAGATCCAAATACCCAAAAGAAATAACAGATCTGGAAAAAGCAATTGCCCAGAAATCATCCATAGAAAACCAACGGAAATCATGTTTAACATAGGTATAGAAAAACATAATGATCTGAAAGCAAACCAACCATAGAAATCAATTATATATCTCAACAACAGCGAAAACATATAGATCTGTAACAAAATTTTAAGAAAATCACAACATATCTACAATAGTTACTAGAAAATTGTACCTGGGAGGGTTGGTTCGTAGATTTGAAAGTAAATCAATGCTATCTACAAAATGAGAGCGAGAAAGAGTGAGAGAAATACCAGATAGAGAGAAAAGATGAAGAAAAAGAGTAAGAGAAAGAAGATGAAGACAAAGAGCGAGAGAGAGAGACCAGAGAGAGAGAGAGAAACAAAGTGGCAGAGAGAGAGAGAGAGAGAGCACATACCGCTGGAACGAGAAGCTCAGTGCTGCTTGACAAATTGATCGACTTCTGGAAAATGTTTTCTGGTTTAAAAAAAAGGAAAACATTTTCTTTCGTTGACTCTTATTTTCAGTTGTACCAAACTTCAAAAAATGTGGAAAATATTTGCCCAGCAAAGAGAGTCAACATGAATTTCTGTTTCAAATGTTTTAGAAAGGTCATTCCAAACTCGCATCTCCAACCTGAATTAAAATTTTTATCAAATTTGAGTAAAAAAATGATTTTTTTCTCAATCTGATACCGAGTGTCTAACAGTTGATTTTTATCAAATTTTCATCAAATCTGTTCCGGGATAACCGGTTGGTCGACCGGTTAAGCCAAAAAAAAAAAAATTTTAAAACTGTTTGAACCTTTTAGTGGTCGACCGTTAAGACAAAAATTTTTTTTTTTTCCAACTGTTTGAACTTTTTTTGGAACTGTTTGAACCTTTTGGTGGTCGACCGGTTGGTCTCCCTCAACGGTCATGCACAGTGTTTTGGTGAAATGCGGAGCCTGTCCTCTTTTTCGTGAAACGTTTGGTGAATTCTCGATTTGATATCAATTTGGTAAAACTGTTGGAGCTCCAAACAGTACTTTTTTCACCAAATTTCAAATTTGATACTAGGTTTGGTGAACGATTGGAGATTGTCTAAAGCAATACAAAACAAAGATTTTGGAGTTATGTATTTATTTATTTTGGGGGAAATTAAAAATCAGTGAAAACTTTTAAAAAAATTTAACATTTTAATTATTAAAGTTTATAAAGCAGGAGATTTCTGACTTCAGCATCAACAAAGTCAACCACATCAACTCCTTTTCTGTTCACCACAGAGTTTTCAACCAAATTCAACTTTTAATCAAATTCTACATCCTCCGCTTCATTGAGAAGGTTTGCCTTGACAGCAAAGTCCTCTTCCAAGCGTTAGGATCCTCTGGAGTAATCTCTCTAGAGTGATTTCCTAAAGTGACTAAGATGGGCTCGACATGCATCCTACTAATGGAATTAAGGATTAAGATCAATTCCTCACCAAAACGACGTCGTTTTGGTGGGAGAATTTCAAAAATAAATAAATAAATAAAAAATCAAATGTCTGGGTTCACTTTCACTCTATTATGGGGAGAGTTAGAGAGAGAGAAAAGGGACCAAAGCTTTGATTTTGTTTTGTTCTTTCCTTGTTCTTTCATGTCCTCTTGAAATCTCACAGTTGAATAGTAGTGATGGTTGGCTTTCTGATAAGGCGTTGAAGGGGGGAGATCTGTTCAAGTCAGCCCTTGATGATGATGATGAAAACAGCCCTTGTTCAAGTCAACCCTGTTACAGGCATGGCTTCGCCGCTGCTGCGGAGATCTGAAAGACCTCCTCTGCCAATCTCCATGTTCATTGACCGGATCTGCTAATTATGTTGCTCATTTTGATTTTGATAATGATGATGATAATGATATGGGGTCGGTAAGTATACATATATGCATATATAAATACATACTCTCATTTTGATTTTGATGATGATATATGTAAATATACATATATGCATATAGAAATACATATCTAAATCAATCTTTTGATGATGATGATGATGATACAAATTTGAATCAGTCTTATTATCGACGAATTGATTTAATCTTTTGAAACCTCTTTCTCATTTTGTTCACGTTTTTTCTTTAATCTTTTGATAATGATGATGACACATATCTGAATCAATTTTATTATTGAATCGATTTGATCTTCTTTTTTATTTATTTATTTAGATCTCACAGATCAAAATCCATGATAATAATACAATTTGAAGCCTCTTTCTCATTTTGTTCACATTTTTTCTTCAATCTTTTGATGATGATGATACAAATCTGAATCAATCTTATTATCGAATCAATTTAATCTTCTTTTTTTATTTATTTTGATTTCACAGATCAAAATCCATGATGATGGTATAGTCTGCAGCTTCTTTCTCATTCTGTTTTCTTTTTTCATTTATTTATTTATTTATTTATTTTAATTTCCCCCACCAAAACGACGTTGTTTTGGTAAGGATTAATCTCAACCCTTGATTCCATTAGTGGGACACGTGTCGGGTCCATCTCATTCACTCTAGGAGATCACTTTAGGAGGATCACTCTAGAGGATCCTAACGCCTCTTCCAAGTCCTCATCATTAGAACCAAAGCGAGACAAATCACTATCATCAAGCAATGCAACTGCTTCAGGATCAACTGCTTTCTAAATCCTAACACCTACAGTCCTTGATGCCACATTATAAATTGACTTCTTGTTCGAATCATCATTCACACCAGGAATTTTTACTCTTGAAGCATCATATGCCTAAAAAACAAAAACAGTAGTATTGTCACAAAGTATCCTCACAATAAAAAAAAATCTAACAAAACCACCATTCATGCCTAGCAAAGAAAGGCTTCTATGTCACAGTATATTAGTTATTGTGTTCAGATTCACAACAAATAAAAAATAAATAAGAACAATTGGAAACATAAAGAACTCAAGACTTCTCTTTTCTTTTCTTGCAATTTCTTTATAACCAAACAAAGGCATGAAAAACGAACCTTCACATCAAGTGGAAGCTAATCGAGCTTCGCTTTACTATTATGATAATAAGCCGAACCACCACCAGTGTTCTTAATCCCCCTCAAATGAATCAAATAGTTATAATCGTCATCAGGAAACCCTAACTCCAAAATCTCCCTCCTTATATGATCCGGTAACACCGCTCAAATCTGCTTTCGCAAATCTCCGCCGTCATCTTCATCATGACAATCATCCGGAGCATCAGTGAACATTGAGTTGGGATCATTGTTGGCGAATTGGCCATCTTCATCTCCTTCGAAGAAGGTATCGGCTGAGTAAGAATTGTTGTCGACTCTAACGAAAATTCAATAGCCCAAAGGTCCATCGGTGTAGTTTTTGGATCAAAGGAGTCTCAAGCGAGGAGTTGAAAAGTAACCGACTGTTTCTTGTTGATGAATTTCTTCCTGTTACCCATTTTCAACGATGGAACTTCTCTAAAGAGAGAAAGTTCCACAAAGAGAGAGGGGTTCTGTAATGAAGGAGTAATATCTAAAACCCTAAATCACAGAGCACTGATCATGACACGTGGCAATCAAGGTTTAAAAAGAAAAAATAATGTTATGTTGTCAGGTGATTTTTCAGTAGTGTCGGAGTATGAACAAGTGGTACTCCATGGTATTGTAATTCAACTTGGGCAGGCTATTGTGTATGGTGTGCAACATGTGACAGCTTGTTTCAAATGACCGTTCAAGTGGCGAAAAGAACACTCGAGCAGAGATCAGGTTCTCCCAATAGTTTGTCTTGCAGGCTTAGGAACCGCTCGAGCGAACAAGTGGTCGCTTGAGTGAAGATCACGAGCTTCCAGTATCTTATTTTGCAGACGGAGATACTAAGAAGTATCGTTTACCACTCGAGCGATGAAAAGATCGCTCAAGCAAGGCACTTTTTAGATCATTTCTTTTACTTTCCTCTCTCTCTCTAAGTTCGAAAACCCTACATTTCTCTCTCTACATATCTCTCATTTCACTAAGTTTCAAGCCAAAATCACTTGCAAGAAGTGGAGTCTACCTACGGATCTTCCTTTCTACCGATTGGAATTGGATTATACGAAGGATTTTTCCAAAATAGTCTAGTTTTCTTGCTCTTCCTTGAGGTAGGGTTACTTTTAACTTAATATCTCTTTATTTTGAGGATGATTATATGATATCGTTGTGATTATAATACTTTATTTGATGATTGAGCCAAAACCAAGTTTTATATTTAACACAAAGGGATTTCACCCAAAATTTCTTAAAATTTCAAATAAATCCTTATGAACTAGGAGCATCGGTGTTGAGAACTATCACATATATGAAGAGGGGTAAAAGCCCCAAATTTGTTAGAACCCTAATTTTTGATTTGGGAAAATATGATGCTTGGATTGAATTGGGGTTGTTTGGGGTGTCCTAAATAAGTGCACTTTTTGTCTTTTTGGACTAAAAAGTTGAGGAACAAAATTTGGATGTTTGGGTTAACTTTTTGACTTTTTATGAAAAAATGTGTATTAAAAAATTGTGTAAAGAAGTGTGTAGGAGAAGATATGTAGTACGCCATACGGATGAGAACATTACAGTCAGCTTGGTGAATACATGGAGAAAGATTGCCTCCTTTTCGAGCTTTGATTGGACGGTGTTGTTTGGCTCGTGAGGGGCCACCACAGGTCTCATTTTTCTAATCGGAACCGTTCAATGTGTAGAACTCGTCGAGTACTATATGCTTGTAAAAAATCACATTGATTGGATATCGATAGCTATCTGATCGTGTTAGGTTTTTTGTTAACTGTTTACTATAATACCATCCAATTTTTATACAAAACTAATTTGATCATATAGTTAGCGATATCCGATAGACATGATTTTTTACAAGCATATAGTACTCGACGAGTTCTACATATTAAATGGTTCAGATTATCAAAACAAGACCCATGGTGGACCCCCACAGGCCTAACTTTACCATTCATGGCTTGAATGTACACGTGTTTATTTTTATTTTTTTTCCTTTCATTGCAAGTGGCTGACATCAGTACGTTGATGGATGGGAAAAGTTGAACTTTTATATTAATTTACCATTCAAATTAATATTTGTATTTTAATTTTTTTTATATTTTTTTTTTTTGGTGAATAGTAATAACTTTTTAACTTTTTTGATAACTTTTTATCTTTTTTTGGACTTGCCAAACCAGCCCTAAATTTAAAATCTTGGATTGTGTGGACAATTAGAGTTTGGACTCCGTTATTAATGTGTTTTGAGTTGAGATTGTGGACTTAGAAATTGATAACCCATGTATTCTATTTTCGCTATTCATGTCATGGTTTCTTGAACACTTAATTACTTGGAATGTTGTAAAACGGGGGAGGTAAATAGAGTATGAGTCCGGGTAGGGAATCGATTTTTGGGAACAATGTGTCGTGTTGGTACACGTGTGGGGAGTTAAGGTGCCCAATTGCCTTATCTTAAGTTTATCGTCGAACGAATGTGAGAAAATATTTTTGGGTGTCCACTAGTCCTATTGTATAATAGTCGGCAAAAGTGAAAAAATGGATGGTTTTGGGTGCCCACTGTGTGGCAAGGTATATAGTATAAATATAGATTATTTTTAGATGGTCCGGATCGGTTCCAATCCGGAACCGTGGGGTTCAATCCGGAACCAATCCGTGGCCTACGGATTTTGTAATTTTCAATCCGGAACCGAACCACGGATTCAAAAAACTAATCCAAACCTATCGGATTGGACTGGACTGGATCGGATTACGTATTTTACGGATTCCTTGCTC